GATTGGCCATTGATCACCAATACAAGGATCACTCCATTTTGAAGCCAGATTTAAGTGAATTTTCCAGTGTTTCCCAGCAGTTTGGCAGGGAATCCTTTGGGATTCAGCAGGATTTGGGATTTTTGGCAGGGTTTCAACATCAGCCACACGCAGACGAGGCTGCTGTCCATGGCCAAGCCCGTGTACCACGCCATCATGAAACACTCTCCAAAAAAACCCGTCCTGGTGTTCGTCCCGTCCCGGAAACAGACGCGGCTCACGGCCATCAACATCCTGACCACCTGCGCCTCCGACGTGCAGCGCCACAGGTGGCACCTGGGGACACACCTGGGGACACACCTGGGGACACACCTGGGGACACCAGGGCAGGGGCTGGGGGCTGCAGAGTGTCCAGGGATGGGATATGGGGTTGGAGAGTGTCCAGGGATGGGATGTGGGGCTGGAGAGCATCCAGGGATGGGATATGGGGCTGGAGAATGTTGAGGGATGGGATATGGGGCTGGAGAGTGCTCAGGAATGAGATACGGGATTGGAGAGTGTTCAGGAATGGGATGTGGGGTTGGAGAGTGTCCAGGAATGGAATGTGGGGCTGGAGAGTGTCCAGGAATGGGATATGGGGCTGGAGAGTGTTCAGGGATGGAGTTAAGGGATTTGAGGTGGAGATGGGAAATTCCTGAGGGCCCTAAGGGGGCTTGGCCTGAAGAAGAGGGAAATCATGGGGTGGGATTGGGTAGACTGGGATTGGAATGGGATGATGGGATAATGGGATAATGGGAAGGGACAGGAGATCCCAAAGGCCCTTCCCAACCAGAACAATTCCCCAATACCTGGCCAGGTTCCTGCACTGTGCTGAGAAGGACCTGGTGCCGTACCTGGAGAAGCTGAGCGACCCCACCCTGAAGGAGACGCTGGTGAACGGGGTCGGGTACCTGCACGAGGGGCTCACGGCCATGGAGCGGCGCGTGGTGGAACAGCTCTTCAGCTCCGGTGAGAGCCGGGATGGGATTGGGATCGGGATGGGATTGGGGTTGGGGTTGGGATTGGGGTTGGGATTGGGATGGGATTGGGATTGGGATGGGATGGGATGGGATGGGGATCGGGATGGGATTGGGATTGGGATGGGATGGGATTGGGATTGGGATTGGGATTGGGATCAGGATGGGGATGGGATTGGGATTGGGATTGGGATTGGGATTGGGATTGGGATTGGGATTGGGATCAGGATGGGGATGGGATTGGGATGGGATTGGGATGGAGACTGGGATTGGGATTGGGATTGGGATCGGGATGGGATTAGGATTGATGGATTGGGATGAGATAGGGATTGGGGTGGGATGCATGGGATGGGAACAGCCTGGAAAATCCTTTCCTGGAGCCCAGCATTGCCCAGAGTGCTGGGACTCGGGGTGGCACCATGTCCAAGCTCTGTGTGACCTCCCTGGGGACACCTGAGAGCCCCTCCCAGGGCCTGAAGGGGCTCCAGGAGAGCTGGGGAGGGACTGGGGACAAGGCAGGGAGGGAATGGCTTCAGACTGGGAAAGGGGTGATTGGGGTGGGATTTTGGGAAGGAATTCCAGGCTGTGGGGAGGGGCTGGGATGGAATTCCCAGAGGAGTTGTGGCTGCCCCTGGATCCCTGGGAATGTCCAAGGCCAGGCCGGAGCAGCCTGGGACAGGGAAGTGTCCCTGCCATGGCAGGGATGGCACTGGAACCTCTCCCAGCCCACCCCACTCCATGAATCTCCCAGCCCCCAAACATTCTGGGATCTCCCCCACCCCCCCAGTCCCGGGATCTCTGTCCCCCCTGAGCCCAGGTGCCCTCCCTGTCCCCAGGAGCTGTCCAGGTGATGGTGGCCTCACGCAGCCTCTGCTGGGGCATGAACATCTCAGCTCACCTGGTGATCATCATGGACACGCAGTACTACAACGGCAAGATCCACGCGTGAGCCACAGCACGGGGACAC